ACCACCTGACTCCCAATCAGAATAGATTCAGAGCCAGTCTGCACTGCCTCGTGGTTAGAGTGGATTTGTGGACAAAAAAAGGGAAAGCAATGTACAGAAAATGGAAATGAAGTACAGAAACCCCTGGATTGGTTACAGGTGGCGTTTGCCTGATTCGAACAGTTGGCTGCGTGGGACTGGCTAAAACTCAGAGATTGGTACAAGCATAGGTTACAATCTGTTTACGCATCTGGTTAGCTTATAGTTCACTCTGTATGAGGAAACCTGTAGGCCGGACTTAAAATATACGAGGAAAATGTTCTTCAACTCCATCCAGAGTAATACAAAAGATGTAAAGTCTCCATCTTTTTTTATGGCTGGGATGAGAAGGGAGAGGGATTGGAGGGCTCTTCACCTAATGAGCACGATGTGAATATATATGGTACACTCCCTGGGTGACGGGCTCACCTTCACCTTGGACTTTACCTGACAAGAGTAAACAATGTAACCGAATCATTTGTACCCTCATATCAATCTGAAATAAATAAATAAATAAAGTATGCAAGAAGGCAGCTTCAAGATAAACTTAAGCCAGCCCTGGGAATGGTGGCCACAGGGCCTCAGTGGAGGGGGTTTACAGAGGAAGGAGTCACTGGGTACAGAGGTTGGCTGGGGAGGCATTGCTGGCGCTGCATTTCAAGGAACCTGGAGAGGATAACCCAAGGGGAGGAGTCTTGTTTTGTTGCTGTTGTTTAGCAGGCCTGGGCCAGGCTGGATCCCACCAGCCCCAGAGTATGTGGCAGGCACCATAACCACTGAGCTACGGGCGCCTGCCCCCAGGGGAGGAGTCTTATTCAACTCTTGTTCTGCAGGGTCAGAGGCAGAGATGCGTGGATGGGGCCAGACTACTGTAAACTCCCAAGGGCTTGGTAGTAGACGGAGGGAGCTCATCCCTGATGGTCTCTTTGCTCAGAGGAGGGAAAGGCAGGGGCTGGTGCGGCTGTTGAGGAAGCTAGAGAAGGAGCAGGCTGCTGAGGTCCAGCCGAGGGTGAGGACTGTGGACAGTGGTCCCCTAACTCTGGTTTCTTCTGCCCCAAACTGCCTGTAGCATCTTCTCCAAATCAACTGTCTCACTATTCCCTCCCTACAACCATAAACTTCTACGACTGGGCAACTCATAATTCCCTTTTATGTAAATGGCCTCTAGCTAGTAATTTATTGCTATATTTAAGTCCCAAAATACTTCTGTTGGTAGCTGTGGCTGTTTAAAAGAATAATTTTTACAGTGTTGAAAGGGAGATAATGGAATAAAATAATTATCTGCATATTTCTTTTCCAAATTGTTAGAGATAAATCAATAAGATGTACAAATAAAAATAAACATTTTCAGCAAATATAGACCCTATCTTGTGGTCTTTTCCTAGTTCATCTCTCTCCATGGGGAAGGTGGGACTAAAGATTTACAGTACAGACGCAACTATAATATTTATTAAGTATCTGTATTTTGTGATTGAAACTCCAAATTCAGTTCCATTCAACAAGTTATTAAGTATCTGTTCGGTTCAAGGCATTGCCTTCATGAGTGGGGAGAGGAGGGAGTTGTACAAAATACAAGAAGCCCTGGGCTGTAGAAATGTATAAAACTGCCTTATTCCAAGTAATTTCAATCTCCAGTAGTCTACACTTTTTCCCCAGGCATGGAGGTGGATATATGATCTCCAAATAGGTGTGTTTTCCCATCACAGCTGACCTTCAAGTTTGCTTAAAGCATTCCTGCTGCTCCTACGGCCTCACCTTTGTTTAATGAGAGCCATTTCCTAACGCCAACCTTGGGTTAACGGACTGAGATGGGAGAAAATCAAACGTATCTCTGCATTTTACACCAGATTGCCTTTCTGCCTCGTGGCTTTAATCACTCAATCCTACTCACATCTGCCATAATAACAATTATGGGTTTTTCTACTGCCTTCTCACGCAGGAGGGTATGTCAGAGAACAGAGCAGCATCTCCCAAAGAAAGGAAGGGCGAATTCTTAATGGCTTTCTCGAGTTGTAGGTAATAATTTTCCTCTGCAGACCCCCGAGGAGTACTTCTGCTGGCTCCTCACCCGCCATTCCCACAGGTTTGTGGCTCTGTTCTGATTTATGAGGTTTCTTCTAGCCCCTCTTTTCTGAGATAAGTTTTAATTATGTAGACAGATTGTAAAAGTCTCTTTCTTCTTGTAAACAACTGTTTCTTTGTTTGTAGTAGATTTTGTTTAACTGGTTTCCTTTTATCTGAATCTTTTTATGCACCCAGGAATTTATGTCTGTTCACTGTTTAACTGCAGCGGCAAAGAAGAGAATGCTGGCTTCTTTCTGTAGCTTCCCTGGAGGGGTGCAATCTTGGAACACCTCAAATTGCAAATCTCCCTTGGGACCTGTTCTTTGTTACAGATGTTCAGAAGCCCGTAATATTTTAGTTTTGATTCAATATAAGAGCAAAAAGTATCACCCATCAAATAAGCATTAGGATAGTTGTCTCGCTGCTTCTCCTTACTTGAAAACTTTTTTACCAAAGTCAAGAAAATGCTTGAATTCTTCAAAAACACCAGTGAAAATGTTAACAGTTACCCCTTCCTCAGGGGACCCAGAGAGGTAGATTGGAGGTGTCTCGGGTATGCTGACAAGCATTGTTGGATTATTTTTCAGCTAACAGTTAAAAGATTAAGAAAAATGTTATTTATGTCTTTTTTTCTCATTCTGCATAAAAACTTTTAACTGCTTTTTTCTCATCAGGTGCTCAACCTAATTGTTTTAATATATTTGATTCCAATTCTGGCCTATCATATTACCTTTCCAGCGCGTTTATGTGAAAATCAGTTTTGCCAAGAATAGCTAAACATTATCCTTTGATCGGCCTAGCAGTTTCCCACAGAAATTTTTAACTGGTACCCTACCAAAGACCTCTTAAACAGGCTACATCAACAGTCTTCCTCAAAGACTCTCTCCAAAGATTTTCAGACATATTTACAATAAAAGAGATGATTTTAGACATAGCCATGTACCTGATAGCTTCATATTGAGGAAACATTTAGTTAGCTCACCTGAAATGAGGGGTGTGGTCTATGGCCAAGAAGCAGAGCCAAGGTCTCTGGCTCAAGTTAGATACGAAGCCATGACCTTGGCCTTGTTAGCCAGCTGCTAACTAGGTGAGCTCACCAGGTAGGCGGCTGCATACTTGTTTGCCAGCTCCCTGGGAGCAGAGATTCCTAACGTGGGTTTCAGCCAGGCTACGTGAACACATTGGCATACTATGCAAGACTTTGTGTGTTCTTATGTTTTTCTGTGGAGAGGGTTCAGATTTTCAGTGGATTCTCAAAAGTGGATGTAATTTTAAAAAATAAAAGGTTAAGATTATATGAAATCAGACTGTTCTAAAAGAAAGTCGTGCCAGTACTTTTTTAAATAAAGTAATCTTTTACTATTGAGGTAGATTTCTATAATCTGAGGTAATTTCAGTAACTCCATGTTACTGTGGGAGGGCTCCTGCTCACTGACCTTTTAATAGTTATCTTTTTATGCTTTTGAAAGTTTTAAAAGGTACCCTTTAAATTGGAGAAATTGGTTACTTTGATATGAGAGGAAAGTGATAGATCAGACCCTCCATTTTTGAGCACTATATATTTTTGAGACATGAAGTGATGTTTTTCCCCCAGAATCTATAAACATGTTTCTCAAAACCCATTGTGTAGCAATTTGGGTAACCCAAACCTTATTTTACTCTTGCCTTTTTAAGAGGCCTTAAGTCTGGCCAAACTTCACCTACTTAAATGTTAGAGTGTTATTTATTAACTGTAGAACAATACATTCCTTAGATAAGATAAAAGCATGCAATAGGAAATTGCCATTCTAGGAACATCTCTCACAGCCTTTTCTGTCTTCAAGGCATTAATGTGCCTGTAAGTCTTTAGTGTTAATATTCTGCGCGTTTATACCATACTAGGGAATAAATGTCATTAGATGTGGACAACGTGTATGTGTGTGTGTTTTTAATTCCAGGTTATTTCATGGAATGGGCCCTTGGAGAACACACAAGGATTGAAGCTTTATCGGAAAACAGATCATGTGGCCTTCAGATTCAGGAATGAGGAGAAATGCAGCCATCTGAAACGGTCATGAACCCCAAACAGGTCTTCCTGTCTGTGCTGATATTTGGAGTGGCAGGGCTACTCCTCTTCATGTATTTACAAGTCTGGATTGAGGAACAACACACAGGTAACACATGGACTTCTTTTTCTATTTTGATGATAACAACAATGGCTGTTTCCAATTAAATAAGGTATGATGTGTATAGACATATAGGAAGTCATGATATTTTTAATAGCAGCAAAAAATGAGCCACATCCTAAAATGACAAGCCTCCTATACTACTCTGGTGGTACTTACTTGGTGGCTTTATACTTGGAATTTCTCTTATCTCAGTGGAAGCTGCAAAGCCTTACTACCCTCCAGGAAGGATTGCTTGTAGGGAATTTGTCTATAAAAGTATAGCCTTTATCCTACCTCTGGTCTGCCCATGAGGCAAAAGACACAAGCTTAAAAGGAGCTGAATACACAGAAATTGCCCTTTTTAAATTCCATCTGAATTTTTGTGTTGTTATTCACAATTGGTGTAGGAATGTTTTAATCCCTTTCTGTAAAGGAGAGGTGGGCAAATCTTTATCAGTGAAGGACTAAAGGGTAAATATTTTAGGCTTTGCAGACCATACCATCTCCATCACAACTATTCACCTCTACAGATGTATCACAAAAAATACATCGCAGTCATAAGTTACTTGCAAACAAATGGACCAGTCTGTGTTCTAGTAAAACTTTATTTACAAAACTCTGGTGATGGGCTGGATTGGATCTACAGGCAATAGTTCACCTATCCCTACTATGCTCACCTTGCACTTTCATTATGCAGAAATTGATTTGCAAATATTGGAAGCACTCAGTTATTACTAAATAGGATTATATTTGTAATGAGAATAGTATTATCCAAGAAAATGTCTTAGACTGTCACAGAAGTTTTATGCATACAGCTTTTTTGAATTCTGTTAGTTTCATTAGTATAGTAGAAATAAGCTATGGCTTACAACTATTAAGGAAAATAAAGTAAAAAGAGAAGAATTTTTGAATCACCTTTAATTGTGGCCTGTTTTAAAGTTATTCTAGATATAAGATCTTTAATAATCTTCTCTGAAAAATAATTCAAGATTGAGTCACAATTATGATACTTTTTAGAGATTTTTTTTCCTGTTTTTAAATCCTTTTTTTTCTTTATGCTCAGAGACATTTTGGATTTATTTAATTTATATTGTAAGCTTTGTGAGAAGAGGTTGCATATAATTATTTTCTAGAGAATGTGTAACATATTGTCAAGACATACCCTTAGTTCCATTACAATTTTCAAAAAGTATAATACTGTGCTAACCTTTCTATTTTACTGAAACAGTTTATCATAATAACTTATATTTGATGAAACCATTTGTGATAAAATATACAGGCTAATTCTTCCCAAAACATAACCCCTAAATATAAATCCTGTAACATAGTAAGCCCGGGTGTTTGTTGAGTGAATAAATGAAAGAACCGATGAATAGGTTGAAAACTCACAGTGGATTACAGACTGGAATGCAGCATAGAAAATAAAAACAAAAAGATCTCGTTATAAAGAGGTTTTCTGGTATCATTATCCTGTAACAAATTTCATTAAAAGAGTATCACAGCAAGATTCCAGTATGCAAAGGAAAATGTATTCATCTATATAGACTTCTGTCATATATCAGAGAAATGTGGTTTAGTCTGTCAGTAAGAAACTATGTTATCTGAAGAAATGGTCAAATTTCATAATGATACTCTACATATAAAATTTACAAAATGTGCTCACAATCATTAATGACTACCATTTATTGAGAATTTAATAAGGCCCAAGTGTTCACATGCATTTTCTCTAATTATCATGGTATCCTCCTAGGTGGGTGATATTCTGAATTTACAGATGAGGAGGCTGAGGCTCTAGAGAGTTTGGAGCGTATCAGAGGACTTGCATGGGTAGGCCTTAGTGCAGGGAATGCATAGATTTGAGCCCAAGCTGTGCTGCTGCGAGGTTCATGCCTCTGGCCTGAATTTTGCCTCTGTAAGGGG